TTTTCTTATAGGAGCCAATGGCTCCTTACTCGATTTTTTTGTCTGGAGCCCTGCCCATGAAGCACTGAGAATGACCATTTTAACAAAAACTTAATTTTAACAATTGAAAATGCTGACTAACTATGGACTTTGGCTAACTATGTTGTTTGTTTACTTAGAAACATTAATTACGTCTGTGTGTGTGTGTTGCACTCTGTTGCTGAATTTCAAGGGAAGTACTACACTACCCATAATGCTGTAGCAAGATCCACCAATCAGAGAAGTTGTGTATGTAAAGTTTTATGTACAAAGAAAAAAAAAAAAAGCAAAACAGCTAACAACCATTATCTTTGCAGGTGTTTGGTCAACAACAAAATCCCTGGCAACCGAACTGCACTGGATAAATTATGTTACGTAGAGCTAGCATTTGTTTTGCTGGTCTGATGACAACTGAGAGGATCATTTATCATTACACACCTGTCTCTGGAACAGGTTTTATTATTGTGTAACATAGGGCTGGACGATATGGCCAAAATTGATATCACGATATATTTCTTAATTTCGGTCGATGCGATATAATTCCGATATCGATATGAACACTATTTATCTGAAATAGAAATCTTTTGTAAACATAGGAACTTCAAGTCATTGATGGATTTTATTTGTGTAGAACTGAATATTTATCATTAACTTTTCCAACTTCAAATCAAGTTTGAAGAAAGGCTGGAAATTCCATGTTGAATGAAACACAGCACAGGAAATCTTTACTACTTTTCTGAAATGGCTATGGAGATAATGAATGGGAAAAATACTTCTGGACTCCAGAATAATTTTATGTTGGTGATTTTAGTCTGTGATTTCACACATTAGATAAACATCTGAAACAAATTTAGTTTAGGTAAGATCCACTTACCTGAACAACTTCTATTCCTCTTTTCCTGAAAGAAGCAAAAAAATATACATATTATTATTTGCTCATGCCACAGGTTTTGACAAAAAAATTTAGTTAAATTAAAATTTTTTAATTAGGATACTATCATAGCAGATTACATTCTGACATAAAAATGAAGCCTGGATAAAAAATTCTGTTGCCTAGCAACACAGAGTTGAGATCCAGAGAACCCTGACTGGCCGTAGAAAGCGAAATGACACCCGAAGCTAGTTTGAGCTATAAACCGTCGTACGTCAGAGCCATCAACCTGCCTGTGCTGTTAGAAAACCTCTACATCTAGACAATGCACAGCTAGGAGCAACTGTCACAAAACAAGTGCTAGTCAAATGTTACAATTTACCAATGCAATACACACTAATTTATACCTGTTAAAATGTATTGTATAAGCTTTTGTTACTTTCACTGTTCATTTTAATGGCACATTAGAGCTGCTCCATTGCAGCAGCTCAATACTGTAATCACAAAACATTTTCCTAAAATAATGCAGGGAACCACTCGTTATACATTATGAGTACGCACGTACTATTTTGATGATGTAATTTGCGTCACGCGCACTATACGCGGACCCTCGCGTACGAATAAAAAACAGAATTTTAAAGCAAGCTAAACACGCGCAGCGCGCACACGTTTGCATTGGTGCAGAATGAGAGTGACACTTAGCCTAGCGCATTTCACACAGTCTACTAGTTTCACTTTTGCTTTAATCGTGTATGCTTGACGTTTAAAATAAATGTTGTTTATAGTGAATG